GTACCTTCCTTTTGAAAACACCAGTGATATTAAGTAGTCATTCAAATGACTGCAATGGGCTGCTGACTCAGCCTAACCCAAGTGATTCAGGGAAGTTGGTGTCACCCAGGGGCTTTCCAGAGATGCTGAGGAAGGTGAAGGCCTCAGCCAGGCTGGTGTGAGGAGGCCCTGGATTGCTGCAGCTCCTGTTTTTTTGAGGGGGATGATATTTTTTTACATTCACTCTCTGCAGAGAAGGGGTGGCCATGGCATGGAAGGACCAGCAATCTTCTCTGTGCCCATCCCACATCCCTGTTCCCACAGCACTCACCCAGACTCGGGCACTTTCAGGGACAGTATTTAAGGCAGAACTACTGGGATAAACCACACCTGGGAGCCCAGTAATGGAATTTATCAGCAGGGCACTTTGACCTTCCTATTTAATCGTTCTTTAGGGGTGGAGGTGTTTCTATAGAAATCTCCTCTTGCTTTGTTAAATGCCCACAAGCAACACAATTCCCATTGTTGTACCCAGCTGGTTTTGGGTGCCATCCACAGGAGACTGAATCTGCAGGGCTGGAATCAGAGCAGATAGAGAAGTGATGCTTCTCAGTACAAGCCCTAATTTTTTAATTATGAGCAAGATCTGGAAAGTGTAACAAGGAAGCAGAACTGATACTTAAAGGCGCAGCACCAGCACAAAATGATGATGGTTTGACTCTGGTCTGGCCCAGATTTCAGGTGCCCTCTCTGCTTGATGACACTTTAATCTTGTTTGCTCTCCAGCCCTGCTGCTGTGCTGCAGAATAGCCACAGGGAGCAGTGGTGCCTGAAGCTGCAGTTGCCACTCCTGCTCCCTTTTCCACACTGCATGTGCTTCCTGTCTCCTGGAGAGACTCTGGATGAGCAGACCAGCAGCAGAGTCCCACGTCTGGACTGGGACTGGGCTGGGAGTGACTGGTTTTGGGAGCTGGGAGCGTGTGTGCAGCGCCAGTGTCCCCTAGGGACTGGAGATGGGATAATCAGTGCTCTCTGCAGCCAGCAACTTGCTTGTGCTAAGGTCGGGAAATGCTGCTTCCTCCCAAGCATTCCCAACGTTTTAGCAGGGGAAAGAGAGCCACAGGATCATGGGACTCAGTTTCCCACCTCATCCTGCCTCCACTGGGATCTGGTCCCACCAGGTGCCCTCCTCAGCACCCACGTGTGATGGGGCTGCTTCGGTCTCGTTGCAGATACTTGAAACCAGATGAGGACAAGAAATCAAAGCACAAGACGGCGGTGAAGAAGAAAACACTGAACCCCGAGTTCAACGAGGTGGGTTCGGGATGGTTGTGGTTCTCAAAGAGGGGCTGTTCTCAGTCCTCAGACCTAAAAGATAGAAACAACACTTTAGTCACTGTGTGGGGGGTCGGGGTTGGGTTCCCTGTGGGAGGGAGGGAGGGAGGAGGATGGGCAGCCCCAGCTCCTGTTTCATCCCGAGCTGTCTCCGCTCCCTCCCAGGAGTTTTGCTATGAGATAAAGCACGGCGACCTGGCAAAAAAGACCTTGGAAGTCACCGTGTGGGACTATGATATCGGGAAATCAAACGATTTCATAGGTGAGTGGGGCACTCCAGAAGGTCTCTTTTTTATTTAGCTTCACTGTCTGTGCCTCTTATTTTTTCATCTGCTGCTCTTCTGCACTTCTCCATCCCCACATTCATTCTTGCCAGGTTTTGGTTCTGCTTTTATCCCTGTCCTGTGCCTGAGCCTCCTCTCCCACATGGACAATCCCCCATGCAAGGAGCACCCGAGCAGGGAGAAGATGCATCTCCCTCTCCCCTTCTGTTTTCAGATCATTTCCTCTGAACAAAAAACCAGGTTTAACAGGGAGGTTTCATTTATCTCTATCGGGTATCTGGGCTTGTTGTGATTTTGCTCCTGGTCCCTGTGATTTATCACTGACAAGTGCCCGGTATCTCTGACAGCCACTGCGACTGCAGTGAGCCCTTGGCACAGGAACAAGCTGCCTGGGACAGGGCCCAGCTCCCAGCCACGAGGGGGGTGGGGAAGATGGGCTAGAGTTGCCTGTGTGTCACATCAGGTCGTGGCATCGGATGCTGTGAGGATGGTGCATGCCCTGGCTCCATCCTGCATCCTCCAGCATCCCCTGCACCCCTCAGCATCCCTCGCAGGGCTGGTGCTCCCGCCTCACCTCTCCCCGTCTCTGCCTCTCTCCCAAGGTGGAGTGGTGTTAGGAATTAATGCCAAAGGTGAGCGGCTGAAGCACTGGTTCGACTGCCTGAAGAACAAGGACAAGAAGATCGAGCGCTGGCACACGCTAACGAACGAGCTGCCGGGCGCCGTCCTCAGCGACTGAGGGGCGGCCACAGCTTCGCCACGGCCTTTGGACTCCTCTCCTTTACGGCTTTGGACACGGGGGGATCGCGGCACCGGGGCAGCCGGCAGGGCGGGACACCCCACGGCACGGCCTGGCTGCAGGGAAACCCTTCCCGGGGGAGAAGGCAGCGGCGCTTTGCTCCGCTCAGCCCGTCCCGGCTCCCAAGGCTTTTCCGAAACGCCGCTCGGCACCCTGACACACTCACAGCCCCGCCCACGAGCATGCACGTGCACACACACACACACACACACACACACACGTGTGCACACACACGTGGCCACCTCACGCCTGCATGCTCTGCAGTCTGGCTCCTCTCCCAATCCTGGCTGTACCGAGTTACCTTCTCGCTGCCTTGCAGTTCAGTGGCAAAAATGAATGCGTCCGTCTGCGTCCGCGTGTCCAGCATCGGCAAAAGGCGTCACTAAAACCTGGAACTGTTTTCTCAAGGCGAAACCGTGCCATATCCCTGGTGGTTTGTCAAGTCTCTGTGGTTTTGGGCCTAAACAAAATGTCTTTTATGCATTTAAATCTCCTCTGTTGGAATGATTGTGTCCCCGACAACCTGGAAAGAGCGCTCGCTGTTCTTCCAGGAGTGTTGTGCTCGTCCTCTCCGATAACTCACGTGAAGTCAGCACTGTCAGCTGTGCAGACCACGGTTTTCCTCTCGGGATCGGGCAGCCTCACATTTGGGAGGCAAAATAAAAGGCTGGGTGAAGCCCCCTGGCTGTCCCTGCTCCCCAGGATCGGGGAGCTCTCCTAATGAAACCATGCCTTCCCGCCCGGAGCCGTGCAGCAGCACAGCTATTTTTCCAGCAAAGCCAGTTTTCAGGCTAAATTTTTCCTATCATTTCTCCCTTATTCATCCTTTTCCAATTCGTGCCATTAAATAAAACCCAGTGAAGGCGCTGAGCCTCGGGGCTGAGCTGGAATGATGCTTGTGGAGATGCTCGGCTCTGGCACAGCTGTCAGGTTGGCCCATTTTCTGCCTCAAACAGCATCCAAACCGAACTGCTGTGTATGGCACAGTAATAATATCATAATATTATAATAATAGTTATAATAATCCCAGGTCTCATCCTCTGTGATCCACCTTGGCCTGTCTCTGCATCCTCATCCTGCTGGACATCCAGAGGGATGAGCAAAAACTCCCTATGAAATGCTGCATGTTTCCCAAAATTTTTGAAGCCTTTAAACCATGATTTCTTAGGAAGAGCTGCTCTTTCCCCACAGGTCTCAATTACCTTCAGCTTCCGAGCCCTGTGCATGCCAATAAGCGTGTTGCTGACTTCTTTTTTTCTTGGAAAAAACAATGGGATCTCTGGAAACCTCCGTTTACTTTTCAAAGTGACGATTGTGTTACACCTTGTTTGATATGGGAGAGGGATAAAAGAAACCAAACTTCCTAGGGGTTTTTTTAAATAACTTAATATTTGTAATGCGTCCTACAGATATGCATGGATTTTATTTGAATGCTGGCAGCGTGTCAAGTCAGATGTTCCCAGTAATCCTTTCTGGTCCAGCACCTTAAAACCTGGTTTGGGTCTGAGCTTCCAGGGAAGCTCCAGGAGCACCAGGTTGGCCGTGCCTCCCTTTTTCTTGCAAAATTCCTTTCGAACCATCATTTGTTCTGGCATATCTTGCTAGGAAACTGGTTTATGCCTGAGGTGGAGTAGGACATGTGTGTCTGTGGGTTCCTTCACTTTGTATCCCAGTCTTTTCTAAGCGGGCACTCTGTCTGTCTGTCCATCCCAGCTGCATGCAGAGTTGGTGGTTGTCATGCCAGGCCTCGTGAAATGTTTGATACCAATGTTTTGCTACCATGTGAAGGCTGCAGAAACCGTCCTTACCTGCATCCTGAAAGACTTTTGTATTTCAGTATTACCTATCCGTGTAGTACTTTTTGTCAGATTTGTTAATATTTATAATGAGAACCGAAAATAAAAAGGTTAAAAAAAAAAAAAAAAAAAAAGAAAAAAGGTTGATGCTGTTGGTGCAGCTTTTGAATTTGGGGTCTGGCAAGGATTTGAGGAGCAGGAGATGGTTTTAAACCAGAGCTTTGAGGGATGCTTGACCCAATGTAGTATATATATATATAAAATATACATATATATTATGTGTATATATATATATACATAATATATATATATATACACATTATATATATATATGCTATGTGTATATATATATATGCATATATAAGTAAATAAATATATATACGGAGAGAAAGAAAATACACTGTAGTATATATAGTACATTTTTATATATTTATGTGTGTATATGTATATAGTAGCCTGCAGCCCAGCAAACCCAGGGCACAGGGAATTAGAGTCAGTCCCAGGTGCTAAGGCTGGGCAGGGGTCACATTTACAGGAAAAGACAGCTGGAAGGCACAAGGAAAAAAATATTTACTCAATTAAATGATGCTCTGTTCAGTCATCAGATTTTTGTTTAAGTCAGTCTTTATCCCCTCCGGAATAAAGAGCTGATTATAAAAAGGGGAGGGGCGGGGGCACAAACCCTTCAGATTAAAATAAAGCTTAAGGTATTTTGAATGCAAAGCTGCTCTGGGGCACGTCAGACCCTCCTGCTCTATAAAGAGGCTCCGCTTTTGGGGAGGTTCACCTGCCCCAGGTGGAGCTCCAGAAACCCCATGTACTCCTCCGACAGCTCGCAGGAGCCCCCAAATAACGGGACCCCGGGGCCTTTTGATGGCCCCCAGTGGCCCCACCAGGCCCCACGGGCCATGTACCTGTCGGTGGCCGTGCTGATGGGCCTCGTCGTGGTCTCTGCCTCGGTCGTGAACGGCCTGGTCATCGTGGTTTCCATCAGGTACAAGAAGCTCCGGTCGCCCCTGAACTACATCCTGGTGAACCTGGCCGTGGCCGACCTGCTGGTGACGCTCTGCGGCAGCTCCGTCAGCCTCTCCAACAACATCAGCGGCTTCTTCGTGTTCGGCAAACAGCTGTGTGAGCTGGAGGGCTTCATGGTCTCCCTCACAGGTAAGGACAGGGACCTGGAGACCTGCCTTGGTGCCTTTGTCTTGAGCAAAAGAGCTTTGGGAATGTTTCGCCAGCTCTCCCATCTCCGAAAGTGAAACTCGTGTCCTTCAGCTCTTCTTTAGCGTGGGGAAGTGTCAGGTAGATGGTTGGCTGTGCCTGATCACCATATGCTCTGTCTTGGTCCTCATAGAGAGGGAAATACCACTTGGGCACATGAGGAACCTCTGCTTGGTGTGTTTTTTGTGGGTGCTGGCTGCTGTGTCAGCACACCTGTAGGTGAGGCTGCACCAGGGACACGAAACTGCACAAAACCTTTTGTCAAGGGCACTCCTGTGGAGAAACTGTGATTGCAACTCCCAAGGCATCACAGACACCCATTGCCACCTTCATCTTTAAGGGCCAAATATCCTCACAGCTCTCCCTGCTGTTAAGAAAAACATCCAAATTCTTGTTAAAACCATATTTACCTCATCCTGGTGTGGGCAGCAGAGCCTGTCCCTAAGACACAACCCCTCCTTCTCCCTGCAGGCATCGTGGGGCTGTGGTCCCTGGCCATCCTGGCCCTGGAGAGGTACGTTGTGGTCTGCAGACCCCTGGGAGACTTTCGGTTCAAGCACCGACACGCCGTCAGCGGCTGTGCCTTCACCTGGAGCTGGTCACTGCTCTGGACAACCCCACCGCTCATGGGCTGGAGCAGCTACGTGCCTGAAGGTAGGGGAGGGGTGCATCAGACTCCACTGGGTCATCTTGCATATGCTTTTGAAGCACAGAGTAGCTGGAGAGTGCCTGGGCTGGTATTTAAAGTGTTAGTATCTCCTGCTGCTCAATAATTCTCCCTGGGAGGTTGCTCTTTGGAAGGTGCCCACTGCAGGACCTGCTCTGGCTGCATCCAGTATGCAGCCAGCCAAACCTGCTGTAGGGACTGATCTCCAGGAAAATGAGAGGTGCTTGGGTGGCATTGCTAAGCAGGGGACAGCGCTGGCTGTTTCGGAGGCCATTACTGAGCCCCCCTCCAAGCCCGTCATTGGTTTAAGCTTGTTTCCAAACTTTGTTCCAGGTCTGAGAACCTCCTGTGGGCCCAACTGGTACACAGGAGGCAGCAACAACAACAGCTACATCCTGGCCTTGTTTGTCACCTGCTTTGTGATGCCCCTCAGCCTGATCCTCTTCTCCTACACCAACCTGCTGCTGACCCTGCGCGCGGTAAGTTCGGCGGGCACAGGTGAGCTCACGGCCTTCTGCTCACAAAGCAGGTTTTTGTGGCGCTCGGTGGAGCTGACACCTCCTGGCACTGCCATGGGGGCACCCAAGGGATGGAAATGCTGCTGCAAGTTGCTCACAGGCATCTTTCTCTCTTCCAAACCCCCCCGCAGGCTGCGGCCCAGCAGCAGGAGTCGGACACGACGCAGCAGGCGGAGCGGGAGGTGACCCGGATGGTGGTGGCGATGGTGATGGCCTTTCTCATCTGCTGGCTGCCCTACAGCACGTTTGCACTGGTGGTGGCCACCAACAAAGACATCACCATCCAGCCAGCTCTGGCATCTCTACCCTCCTACTTCTCCAAGACCGCCACGGTTTACAATCCAATCATTTACGTCTTCATGAACAAACAGGTGAGAGAGGGAGGCGTCAGCCAACAAACCACAGCCTCGCTGGGGCTTCTGGAGAACAACTTAATGGGCTGGTAAAACATGAAGGAACCTCGTATCCTATCTGGGAGCACAGTCACAGGCTCGATCCCGGATAAGCAGCGAGGTTTTGGGGAATAAACGGAAAGGGAGGGAGCAGCCTGCGAGCCCAAACAAGAGCTCATTTTCTGCTTCCATGATTTTATGGGGTCAGGCAACTTAATGTTAGATCACAAACAGCTCATTGAAGACAAAAAGCAAACAGAATGAAACAATTTTATTGGCAATAAACCGCAAAAGAGTGGGGCTGGGAATAGAGATCTCACCCAAAATATAACCAGCGTGCCACCCCTCAGAGGCCACACCAGCTTTCTGCCGTCACCTGTAACCCATCCCTCCCCTGCCCAGTTTCAGAGCTGCCTGCTGCAAATGGTGTGCTGTGGTCACCACCCCCGGGGGACTGGGAAAACCTCTCCAGCTGACCCCAGCCCCCGCCCCGAGGGGCTGCAGAATAAGGTGACGCCGTCTCACCCCGTCTGAGCGCTGCCAGATCCTGCACCAGCACCGGCTCCAGGCTCTGCCTGACCCACCCAGCCTGCTGCAGCACGGGCACAGAGCGGGCTCAGTGCTGGAGGTGAGGGGGGGCTCTCAGAGGTTCAAGTCCCCAGCAGCCCACACAGTTCTCCAAAAAGAGTCGTGAGTGTCTCCGTGCAGGAGAGGAACCAGCCCATCGTGGGATAAACTGCACACTTTTATTTCACCCTTCCCTTCCAGCCCCTCACCTCGAGCAGTTGTGAGCCTTCCAAGAACAACAACAACAAAAACCCAACCCAAAATAAAGAGTATTATTTTCCTCCATGTAAAACATCCCAAGTTGCTTGTTTGGCCCACACGGTCTGGCTGTGATGCCACGTCCAAAGGGGTCTGAGGACAGAGCTGCACGTTCCCCAATCCCCAACAGAACAAGTGCTGTTTGCGCTGCCCGACCTCGCTGTGAAGTTCAAGGTCATGCTGGAAACCTGGCACAAATCCAGCAGGCCCGTTTTAAGTGCAGACTGTGTTAATAAACATTAATGAACACTAACCAGTTCAGAGGCATCTGTTCTACTGGCTGATGGAGTCTGACAGAAAACACATCCCCTCCTGGCACGTCTCTCGTGGCAGGTGCCACATACACCATCACAACAGAGAGCAAGAAAAAGATCAGCTCAAAACCACAAAAGTATTTTTCAAAATATATTTAAGGCAATAAGGAAAGGTCTTAAATCCACTGATTTCCCAGGGAGGGTGAAAATAAGGTTGTAACAGGGCCCCGAGGAGATCAAGTCACAACAGAGGCACCGCTGCCCATCAACAGCAAACAAAAGATGCCAAAGCCTGCAGGAATAAAAAAGACAAAAAAACCCAACCCAAACCAAAACAAAACAAAAACCAAAAAACTATGGGGCTCTGCAGCTTCACACCTGATCTTGAATCTCAAAACACAGTGTTTATCTAGACAATCACACTTCTGGTTTGTGAGGCAGATTCCGTGATTTAGGAGTCCACAGAAAAAGCTTCTAAAGACAATTCTGTAGGCAGCAAATCTCTGAAATTCGGTTTTACCCAATTCCTCTGTTTTTAAAAAAAAAAAAAACAAAACCACACACCTGTCTGCCTTTAGAGTTAATTGTCTTTCAAATTTTTGCTCCTGAACACGTGAATTGCTTTCAAAATGAGATGATCCACAGTCACAGGATTCCAAGGCTCTCCCCTCCGCGGTTCTGTTTCTATCATCGTGCACAGGGATGATCCCCAAGCACGTTCCCTCCTCCTCCCACCCTCTCCCACAGCTTCTGCCGATGCAGCAGAGGGAAGCAACGCTCCAAGTTGTTCATCACCTCACTAAATTGCCTCACTAACATGCAGCCCACAGCCCGTCACAGACAGGCAGGCTAGCAATTTGCACTGCCATGGATGATGATGAGATTTGGGAGACTGAGGGTTTTTTTCCTCCGGCTGAGATGGTCTGCTCCAAACCAAGAGCAAAACAAAAATCCCCAAACCACTCAAACAACAAGCTGGACTGGGCCTGCAGCAACCTGGTCTAGTGGAAGGTGTCCCTGCCCACGGCAGGGGGTTGGAACTCAGTGATCTTTATGGTCCCTTTCAACCCAAACCATTCCATGACTCTGACTTGACAGGACATTCATCCTCATCCCCATCCCTGTGTCTCAAAAAAACCTCTCTCCACTTGCTTTCCTACGTGCAGAACAGCTCAGCTCGCACGTGAGCGGCTCAGGGAGGATTTAGAACAGCTCAATATCACTGTTTTAATTTAATTAATTGGCCTTTCATTCTCTGGGAAGCTGAAAAGCAGCATTAGATGGGTCCCTCTGATCTTCTCTGCTGTCTTGCACTGGTCCTTGTTTAATTGTTTCTGTTAATTACAGCTTTTGTGCCCATGCTTCTTGTGATCTGGATGATTTACATTCATGCTAAACTCAACTCTGGAAAAGTACAAGCAGATGAAAAACTGAAACCTCTGTTGTGCTCTGGCCTCGATAAGGAGAGCAGACAGGCTATGGGGGCTACTTGAAAGGCTCTCTACCCACAGAAATAAAAATTCTCCACATTAAGATTTAAAAAAAAGATAGGGAAATGGTTCACAGTCTGCTCACCATTTGGTCCGACAGATAAAACAGAACAAGAAATCCAAGGAGCTGAGGAGATTCCACGTGTTGCAGACCCAAGTGATATATAATTACGTGCATGCACGTGTGCCCCCTCCACCACCACCCTGCTGCAGCCCTACAGCCTTTAATTACTTTTTATTTAATTGAGCAAGTCTGAAACACAACAAAACACTGCCAAAGCGAGAGGGAACGACCCTCAGCTATGAGTCACAAGCCACCAAGGACAGAATCACACAATAAATCTGCAGTTCAACTTCTGCATGCGAGTCGTTTCCCCCTGTTCCTGCAGTGTAACACAGGGCTCTGCTCAGCCCCAGGGCCACGAGGAGCAGGATCTTGTTACAGCAGCTTGTATCAGGAATATAAAGTTCTTCTGCCTGCAGCACACAGAGCTCCCAAGCAGAGAAACCAGGTACCTGCTGTTGGTATGAGCCCAGATTAGAAAATATTCAACACTTGCTTAATATTGTTCTATTTCCATTTAAATTTAATATTAGTATTTGTATTTTGCAGCTTATATTAAAATTATATTTAAGTATGTCTATATTTAGCGTTAAACCTCTGCGTAGTATTTTCCTATTTAGATTTTAATTTCAGATTAGTGCTTACATTTTAGATTTTACTTACATTAAAATTTACATTTAAATGTTTTATATGTTTACATTTAAACCCTTGCTTAGCATATTTCTAATGTCATGCACAGGGGATGAGCCCCATTCCCAGGCACTGGCCCTGCTGTTATCCCGAGGTGCAGAATTCCAACCCCAGCCTCCTCCCTGCTGGCACTTCTGTTCCTGCTCTGTCACTACCACGACATGATAAATGGATGAAAGATTTCTATTTTCTCTTGATCTTTTCTGAGGAAAGCTCCCCCCACCTCTGCCAGTCTGCAGCACCTTCCCTGGAGCAGCTCTATCAGCACCTGCTTGTGTGTCATGGTCTGATGATGGGAAACATCATTAATAACAAGTAAAAAAAACCCAACAAAACAGACCCAAAAAAAACCCCTCCAAAACAAACAAACAAACAAACAAAAGAACGACATGGCAGCACAATAACTTGGAAACTTTTATATTAATGCTGTTAAACCAAAGTAACAAACAGTTACAGATGGGGAGCATTTCTTTACAGAAACAGGAGTGAAGGGGCAAAGGTGGCACACCCCGATGTACAAAACCAGCCAAAATCCCCCTGTCTGTTGGACAGGGAAAGGGACAATCTTCCCTCCTGCATGTCAACAGTATTTATCACATAAGAAGTGATATTTATCAAATATGAAGTTGCTGTGCCCATCAATATCTTAATCCAAAGCTCAATTATATCCATTTTTTTTATCCACCCTACCAAAAACGTGGTTGAATTAAACAACAGGTACCTTCCCAACACTAACCACATTTTCTCATGTTCTTGTCTAATGCTGGCAGGGAACATATTGCTGCACTTGCAATCTCTGGAGAACACTGCTTTTTTCCTCATTAGTTTTTTGCACAGCAATTAATCCCCTTAATCAGTCAAATCAGTTCAACACTAGATCACAAAAGCACTAAGTAAAGAGAAAACAAGAAATTACCTTGTTAAATTTAATGAGCAAGGAAAAACACACACTACATGGGCTGTAACAGTGCTCCACGCTCCCAGCATGGAAAAATTCCAGTGCCTGAGCAGTACCAGCAGCCCACAGAATTACAATCATTCTGTTTGCAACACCGAAAACTGCATAATGCAACAGAGCAGGAAATTATTGTGCTTATGAAAATGGGCACGTGCAGGAGAAAAACCACCAGGCAGCAGGTTCATAGGGATGTGATATTGAGAAAACAGTTCAGTTCTGCAATATTGATAACTGCCTGTGCATGCAGTGATGGCATAAAACCAGTACAAACAGTATTAGAACACAGAACATCAGATTTTCTTCTGTACTTGCTGCTGCAGCTAAAAGAAGTCTGAGCTTTACAACTGTTTATGTAGCCAAAAAAAGCCTGCAATACAGACAGCAGTAAGCAGATGATAGGTTAGAACTTATTCCTTATCCATTTTAATCACACAGAGAACTCTCATCCAGAACAATTATCCTGTAGGGGGAAAAACAAGAAGAAAAAAAAGAGGTTACATAGTTGGGTTTTTTTCATGTATCAAACTACAGGTTGAAGGGAATGGTGCCTCTTTCACCTGGAAAACAGGAATGTATCCCATGCATTCAGAGAACACACAAATTCCTACCAAAAACCCCAGTTTAACTCACAGAGAGTCTCACCTGAAGGGCGAAGCTGAAGACAGCTGCTGCTGCTTCAAGTGGGATGTCTGATCTTTGAGCTGTTTGTCTAAAAAAAAACCATGTAAATGGAGCTCAGAACCAACAGGAACATGCACAGCCACAACACTTCAGAGGGAAGTCAGCACACAGCACCACGTGAATCAAGTGCTCTGCTTTATCCATTAGGTCCCACTCAGTAATCAGAGCTCCAACCCCAGCTCTGCTGCTCCTGGGGCATCACACAGGACCCTTGTTGGGATCAGAAACCAATCCTGCTTTCCAAACCTGAAGCCCAATCCCTGCCAGCCCAGTTCTAGGGACCTGACAGAAAATACATCCAAACCTGCCAAAGCCGTGCAAGCAACGAGCACAGCGATGACACCCCCAGTTAAAAATTACCACCAGCACTTCCAAAAGCAACCAGGGATTTGGGACATTTCAAACTCTGGGTGCATCCAGCAGCTTTACGGACAAAGAGCACCTGCTGAAGTCCCAGCACAGCTTTCTGGCGCTCTGCCTCCAGCCCCAGCTCCTCTCTCCTCTACTCCATTCTTCCTTCCAGCATCTTCTGGATCCTGCAGGCCTGCAGCCCTTGAATGACAGAGTTTTGTGTATGATCCTAATTTTTCCTCACTTTTTTTTTTTTTTTTTTAATCAGATAGGATGAAACAGAGCACTAAACCAGAAGCCTCAGGGCATACCAGATGCCTTTTTGTTTTTACCCTGATCTATAATGTGTATCTGCCCTCTCCAACCCCCAAATTGCTTTTCCCTTCCCAAACTGCTTTACATCCATACACAGACTGCAGTGACTCTTTATAGAACAGCATGAAGCAGATGTACTCTGACTACAGGTGTGGATGGGCTTTGGATCAACATGGAAGTACAGGAATTGGTCTGCCCTGTCGGCAGGACCCTCCTGGTTATCGTGACCTTTGCCTTCTGTGTGCAATTAAAAAATAAAATTCCTGATGCCAAACACAAGAATGTCTGGTTTTCTATTTACTTGTGAATTTTTCTTTACTTCTGTGTTCCTTTGTGAGACAGATGTTAGGAATGACTTATGACCACTCACTGGCATTTACTGGGGAGCTGTTCAGAGTTACTGGGCTCTGAATCTTTTCCTTAAAATGATGTATATATGACTTCTCCCACTGCCTTCATTTCCTAATACACTGCCATGAAAACACAACCATTTTCCCCAACTCTTCTTTACAAAGAGTTTTCGTGATTCTGTTCTCTTTAATGTACATTTTCTCCATCTCA